GATTTCAATAAAAGAGAACAAGGTCATTTCTCACTCTCACTAAGAGCAAAATGCGTTCCTTTTTGTTATAGTCAAAGCTATGTTGCGGTTCTGGTTGTCAAGACTTCGAATTCGGTATGTCTTGAGGCTTTTCTATTTGAACATCAAGTTATGTCAAGAAACAAACAGTTATATCGAATAGTTCGTTGCTCTTTCTCCGTTTTTACGGTGCTCTTCAAGGTAGCATATTTGCTATTTATCGATATTTATTTATATCAAATGGCAGGCGTCTTGTTGGTTATCGTTAGCCCTTTAGTTGATTTCAGGCTTCATAGAGGGGAAGGAACATCAAATTGAAAAAAGTCTAGAGAGGGGAACAGAAGAGTGTTTCAAAGATGTAAGAGACAAACACAAAGGTAGAAAAGGTGAGGTGAGTACTGTGAAAATATTCGAATATGTCATAGAGTGAGGTGATGGTAGTTTGAATTGAGAAGTCAACTGCCAGTTAATTGACTTTCTTGCCGTATGAGTATTCGTTGCCCAGGGTGCACCATGTGGAGGTAAGTCTATCGCACACCCCTGCCCCTGTGATATAATACTACTGGTACATCTAAGTAGCAAGATGATCGAATAATAGGCAGTCTATCGCACACCCCATGAAAGGCTTTATAATAGTCTTCATTAACCCTTTTATCGATATTGATATTGCTCTGTTACTTTAATCGTGTTACTTCTGACATTTCAATAGCGTGTTTAATTGGCTTAATTTATTACTTTCATTTTTTTGTTTAGGCTTGGATTTGGAAAGTTATCTTGGCGCTATTTGGCGTAATGATGATCTCAGCTTTTACGATTGCTGGAATGAATTATTACGAAGGCCTTCCGGTCAACAACTCGATGACCTCGGACCTATGAATGATTGTTTACTTTTGTTCCGTTCGGACCTATTTTTAGTCGCCTAGCATTGTTTTTAATCACTTGTATTTTATGTGATCTCTTTTAAAGCATTTCTCTCTTTAATCTAATTAGTATTAATTGTAGATTGTCTAAATCATTATTGGTTGTAATATTAAACCTAGCTGGTATTTGGTGTAATCCGAGTGCTTTTCTCTAGACCAAAATGGGAGAGATTAAAGTCATGTAGGTCCATGTGGTTCTTGAGTTGGCCACCACTTATGTCCTTGCAGTATTCCGTGATTGACTTACCTCCAAGTGGTGCACCACGGGCAACGTATACTAAAGCAGCAACGAAGTCTAAAACCGACAGTTGACTTTAAACCACCATGAATCGACTTATTTCATATTCGACTACTTTCAAAATACTTCCCTTTGTGCCTGTCTGTCGCTTTTACACATGTGATTCATTCTTCTGTGACCCCTCTCGATTCTTTCTCACATTGATTTTCCTCTCTTCTGTGAAGCCCGAAGTCAGCTAAGGGGCTAATGGTAAATATCAAAACGCCTGCTATTAGAAATAAATGTTGATTGCAATTAGCCATCAGTTCCCTAAAATGGGGATAGCTAATTACGAAAAACTCACAATTGGTGTACTATATAAATGCTAACCCCTTTTGTCCATCCCTTTGTGCAGTAGGAACAGAGATTTCAGTTGATGACTACAGTGTAGTGTATACAAGGAACCACCAAAATACTTATGTGAATTAATCTTGCACTGAGGCTTAGTAGAAACAAAGATTTAATGGCAAATACCCTGATGAAATAAGCCCTAATAGCTGCGATATTTAAAAATAGTTAGTTGGAGCACTTTATTGTTATACTATTTTTAAAATAGAAATAATGCTTGTATATGTTATTAAGATAATTACTTTTTATTTAATATATCGCAGAAAATCATAATGAAGTTATACCAAAGATTGAATTATTGTAGTAAGTAGCATTTAATTACGATAGTATTATATTAGTTTGAGTGCTTAAAATAATTAATTTAATATAAACTGGATTCAGATAAAAAAGTAATTTTTACTTATTTAAATCATGAACTAGTTTGATAATATCAAAACTGTTACCCAATTAACCCGAACGGTAAGTGGCAGACTTAGAAGCCGAAAATAAAAAATAGAATTACAAGAAATATTGGAATCAAGAGAGAATGATAAAAATATTGGAGCGTAATCTGAAATTACCAACTCAATTGGATGAACGTTATTGTCTTAAGTACAAATTAGGCATGACAAAGATATTATTAAAATTAAGGAGCCATCCGAATTTTTTCCGAAATTAATACTGTCTATTTATAACTCATAAATAATATGATATTCCAATATTTTATTTTATTCACTATTGCAATGAGAAATATGAACCATTATAACAAGAGATTGCCGATGTTCATAAATTTGTTTCTATGCATCGATATAAAACTGCGCTTTAAGTGTCAAATACGTTAATCTCACCGAAAATGGAATGGGACGAAGTTGAAACTGCAGAACTTTTTCAAAAGTTTGAGTCATTCGCTGCTGCAAAATTTACGGAGCTTCGACAAAAGCACTGGAAGGAATGCACCGCTGCAATTTCGGGTATTCGTCGCTGTTGTTTTTTTCGATCGATTAAATCAAATTATAATGAAGTCTTTCCTGCTTTTTTAGATGTAAGAAAAATGATAACTGAGCTTCGAGCAGGTAAGGTGTCTTTTGATTTTGACCTTTTGTTAGATTTCGAAGAAGGACTAAGTAGAGTTAACTCCGAGAAAGCCGAACTGGAGAAGTAGGTTTACATTCTTTGTTCATGATTCATTTGTTTAGAGAACTCGAAAAATGTCAAGAAATGATAGAGGGGAAGAACTTAGAACTGCTTGGTTTACGTAAGATTATGATTCTTCTAGATTTCTTCAAGGTCGTCAATTAAGAAGTTACAATTTATCAAAAAATATCTGTAAGAAATGCGAATGTGTGGTACCTGAAGTTGAAGGCAAACTGGAAAAGGAGCAAACTGATCAGGGTGGTAGAAAAAGGGCAAGGTTTAACGTATGGCTATTTGCTTTCCCCGTTGCTTTCTTTTAAAAGTTTTTATCAGGTTTAACTCCTTCTCTTTCAATTTTATAGTTGTCATTGTCTTCCTCAGAGTCTCCCGATGCACCCATCGATTCAAATGGTGGACTAACGAGAAAACCATCGGAAAAACGTCTTTGTCTTGCAACGTCCAATGGTCAAGTGGCTGTTGAGATCAACAAACAGAAAAACGGTAGCAACAAAAATGGTTGTGGTGATGCACCTAACGTGCTTGTTCCCGAGACCCAACAGGAATCACCAAGTAATGGTAAGTGCAGATCATTAGCTCTATTTTAAAACTTATATTGTTGGAACGGCCTACATATTGCTTAACTTCTATTTATGATAATTCCAATTGAGATTAATAATTTTATTTTTGGTAACTCCCCATTGATTTGTGATTAATGTGGGAAAAATGAGAATCATATGTAAGGCAGCAGTTGTGACATGCATGATGTTTTAGTTTATTATCTGTATAATCGTTTTTTATCGCTTTATGTTATTTATAGTAAGGCTGCTTTCGCGGTTTCAAGATAAGATGTATGTCATCCTGTTTTGAGTTGATTGCACTTATTAGTTTATTTCTGCCAATTGATAGCGTATAGGAAAAACTATCGATATTGAGCTTTCAAGAATGTATTTATATTTGTCCCAATGTTCTATTTCATTCTTTTTTTGATGTCTGAGATTAATCATTTGTTTCTTTCGCTTTAGCTTAATATGGAGTTAAAGCTCAAATGTATCCCCCTCTAACGTAGTTTTTTAGTCGCTATTTAAATTTCATGGTTTAGAATGTTGTCATAAAACTAATTTGCTTCTGTGGCTTAAAAGTGTTGTAAAGTTGTGTCTATTTGTTTCCCATAGATAAGAGATTTCTTTATAAGTTTACTAACTGCGTTCAAGCATTCAAAAGTTCTAGCTATATCAGTATGTTTTTTTTATTCCTTACATTTGATTCATTGCGGGGAACTCTGTCTTGTCTATCAAGGTTCACCGGAATCACGAACTCTCACTGACGGTGTAACAACTCATAACAACAGTGATGTGGGTGTCAAACCAGAAGAAGACGGCGATCAGTCAATACAAACTCCTATGAGTGATCCTCTTTCTCGACGAACCTTTGGTCTCTCTGCGCTCAGTCCACCCTCCACTTATTACGACGCATCGGCTGCCATTCGCAGAGCTGTCAATCACCTTGATTTGGCTAATTATGAGCCCTCTATTATCGCTACGCCTTCTCAAATATCCAAACAGTAAGTTCGCGTTTGTTTCTTTCATAACCTTTTCGACTCATTTTGGGCTAAGGTTCTTATGACACTTGCAATCCATTAACTCTTATTTTTATGACGTGGCCTGACAAGGACATGCATGCTAATTTGTTTTCATTTTTATTTAATGTAACTTGTTCAAGTATGCTATTTGAGCGTCCTTCAATGATATTTTTTGAAATAAATGGGGATTTCAGTGTCGGTAAAGGTGGTAGGCTATATTTGGCAAATGCAGATAAGTTTTTGTTCCTTATTACTAAAAACTAGCCATTACTTGAAGCCAGTTGAGTTTCCTTCGATCTTCAACATGTTATTTCTGCCTATCTTAAATATACGTTTCTTTTTCATATCGGACAAGTATAAAACTCGAAATTCGTAACTTTGTAATTTCGCTGAGAAATCCTCTTAACAATCGTGCTCCCCATGTTTAGCCTTACCGATTCAGGAGGATATTTATTCATAACAAAGTATTAATAATAATTATTATAAAGTGTATACGCGAATTTTTCTTAATTTTACTGTTTGCAATCCTTCAGCGTAATATGTTCAATTCTGTTGGTGTCCAGGACTCTGGATTGTAGGTTGGCTTTCCCTTAGTTCTAGGCCTTTTTGTTATCAAGCCACTCGTAATCTATTATGCGTAACTTTTTCATCTCATAGGTCAAGGAATAGAGTAGGTGGGCAAAGGGCTGCTGGGCATGCCTCGCGACATGTACACAAGAAGACCTGTCGTCATTACCAGTCTCCACCTAAACGTCCCACCACGGGTCGACGGTCTAAGCCTGTCTTGGCTAACGATTTGCTCAGCGATGCAACAGGAGCCGATTTGACCTTTCCATCAATTTCCACCTTCGCTGAGGCTGCAGATCCAAAACAACCTACTGCTGCTGCTGCTGCTTCCAAAGATCCCGAAGCTGCTCTTATGCCTCCACCTCCGCCCCCAGATAGTAAGTGATCTATAATGTCTAATTAAATCACTCGATGGGTTATCTAACTTGTTTTTTGTAACTTGGAGTTTATCCATATCTCTATTTGTCATATCTTTCTTTTAAATGGTGTCTATAAGGAGTGGTATATCAATGTATTATTTGCTCATTACATTTTTGGGACATTCAATTTTCGGATTCTTGAAAGATTAGCTCATTTTTCTTTTGTTCTTCGCGTTTTTACCTTCAAAAATCGTTTGAAGTATTTTTACATTTGTTTTGTCTCCAGTTATCCACAGTTTTTCCGATAAGTCGTCTCGGTAATTTGTGTCCTTTTGGCCATTGGATAAATTTAGAAGGGGTTCAAGTAAATATATAGAGCACTTAATAAATCAGGAACGACTTTGTCAATCTCATTTACACGATGATCATTTTGCTAGGAAAAGATTATTTAGAAGCGTTTGAAGTTTCCAGTATGTTTTGATAACAGTTTGGACATTTTAATTATGAATGTTCCCAAGTATATGTGCGTTTTATATACTTTCATAATTTAATCACACCGTTTCCAAGTTCGCTTACAGAAGTTAGAGATGCATCTGTTACAATTTCTCTTAGTAATTAACAGTCCTCTCTTATTATTAGTGTCGAATGGTAAGCGCAAAGTCATTCAGGCCAGCTTTAGACTCTTCTGTTGTTGGCATGACAACTCACTGGGGTACTTGTGTGTAGTGTTCGTGTTTCTCTTTCTAAGGACATCTTTGTGACTCACTTCCGGCGCACGCGTGCACCCACATGTCCTCGGGGCATAGCAACACGCCATTGGCTTGGCCTAGATATTTGCCTTGGTCACCCTGTTTAGGCGCTAATACCCGTTTCACCATTGGGGCCTTTTTCAACCCAAGGTAACAAGAATTCTGCTAGTCTATTGGAGTAAGTGAATCCGGGGTTCTGTTGGCGGCATCGTTTTTTGTTATAGGGTCATCGATTCTTCAAATGAGCAGGTCGTATTTCGAGTAGCAAAGCAAGTATATTTGGCACCATTGAATTGTCTGTCACCACACGTCTTTCTGCAGTAGTCAACCCTGTTTGTCTACTTTGCGTGGACTATTAATTATTTGGTCACTTGGTTAAGAAATGACTTAAACTCCGACAGGAAGCGAACGAAGAATCGAATATCATTAGGAACTAAATGAAATTTGTCATGTAAGGTTGTCTTTCTTTGCAATCGAGTAATGATTGTCTTTCAAATGCAATTTGCTTGTAGTATTTGATAACGCTAGGTTCAGTTTCAACTTTTTGTGAAATTTTTAATGAAATACGCAATATAAGTCTTTTCTAACGGGTAAATATTTATATTTTGTGAGCATGCATTTGTGTGAATTTATTCTAATTGGTTTGAAAGTTCACACTTGCAACTGCACACCGAGCATCCATAATGCTGTCCATCTCCATGTACTAGCCACTTTATTTTCCATTTTCGTCCTAGGTAACGTCCGAGTTACAAGGCGTTCGTTGAAGCGTGGTGACATTGACAATCTGCCATCTCTGGGTGGGTCACCTACTGCTCAAAAGGTGCGTTTCCATCCATTCAGCATTTTTGGATTACCCTTATCCCGTCTTTGCCAATAATGCTGTTTTAATTTTTTTGTTCAGAATATTGAAACGCAGTTGCCCGATGGCCAAGCCAATCCATCGAAAAGGTATGCTATTTGACTGTTGCAATGAATAATGGCCCTCTTCCTCTTTTATCAATTCTCATTCTCCTCCTTTCGTCTTATTTAGAAACTCGAATGCGAACAGAGCTGCTTTATCACCCAACAACAATAAGGGTTTTGGTATAAACCAATGCAATGAGTGTGTAGAGGTGAGAGAGAGAGAGGCTTCTTTTGCATTGGTTTCAATTTTCATTTAATTTAGTCACTATTATTTTAACTAGCGATAGATTAAAGATTGCTATTTCAAAATTGGTAATGAATAAGTGTTCATTTATTTGTTGCTTTGATGAAACACCCTTAAGATTTGTCACTTGAATTTGAGTAACTTTTGTTGCTGTATGTACCGGAGCTTTTGTAATTACCAAAGTATTTTGTAAATTAACTTTGAGAGTAGTTCCCGTTACTTTTCATTTTCGTTGCCGTATTTGTTGTTGAAGTTTGCACTCAGTAATTTGTGCGCGCGCGTCTGTGTGTGCTTGTAATTTGACACGTTTTCACGTACTTTGGGCCCCCGTAAGCTTTCATTTCTTTATTTAGTTATCCGCAGCTCATTTCGTCTTTTCTATAGCTCTTCTGTGGGTATTCGAGTACGTATTCTTTTTGAATGCGTGTTTAGGTTGTGCTGCAAAATTAATTGCTTTTTACGTGTCAGCACACGCTTTTAGGCCGTGCTTATTCATTTCTGACTGTCTCCAATTTGTGCCCTATCGCTAACACTTAATGAAACAATTGATCTACATCTGAACCACTGTGGATTTTCTTCCTCTCTGCGATATGCTCTTGGTCCTCCTTTCTCTAATCTATGCATAAATTTTCTGCAAATGTAGATATTTCTCAGGGTTTTTTAGAGCCCTTAAGCCGCTTTAGATTGTTGGTGACACTTATGCCTTTTAGAGTGTCTTTGCTTATCTTTAGGTCGGTGTTCACTCCAGATAAAAGATTAGTTCCCGTTCTAATAGCAACAACCCGTTCAGGTTAAATCTGAACGCATTCAAAGTCGTTCATGCAAGCAATTGGTTTGATTGCGATAGGTGTTATTTCCTAGAATAGTGGGACGGGAATATGAATTTCGTCAGGGGAAAATGCTTATAAATTATCCGTTATATTTTCAACTCGACAAATTATACTTTGGTATATAGGTAAACTTTTTAGAAGGAGGAGTGACAAAACTGAAAGATTACTGCCTCAAAAGTAAGGTATTCCCTCCTGGTTTAAAGTACTTGAAAATGTTAGGTTTGGTTGAAAAGAGGTTGAGAAGTCTTGGTGTTCTAGAGACTGATTAAGCTATCGCTTTCCAAAATCTTCACACATCAAGCTGAATCAAGTGCATAATTGTTGCAGTTATGCTTATTAGGAGGAATTGGGAGTCGCAAAATAGAAGTGGAAATGTTAGAAGCCCCAGGTATCTATCGTTGTTGGGATGGAGCAAATAAAGTATGCAAGAACGACGTCGATGAAAGGTACGTTTGGATCATCGCAAGTTTCAGCTGCAAGTTCTTGTCGGATAATTTGAAATCCCCAATTAATCGTTCTTAAAGTTGATTAAATTAATCTGTTTTCGTAGACAACATCGTAGGGATATCTTTCGCGAAATTGCTTGATAGCAGCAATTGGTATTTTCCTTAGAATGAGCTTTCATATGATGGCGTTGGCATTTCTCTTATTTTCATTCTTTTATAATTTTGATGATATAAATGTGATATCTCCCATTCAGACAATTTGGCTCGAGTATAAACGCGGCCCCTTTTTGTTGTCGTCATTTGTTTTACTATTTAGACTATCGTAATTTTGACACACTAAACTATGATGCGATCTTGATAACACGGGTCTCTGGGGTTCTTTTTTGCTTAGTTCCCTGCACGTTGCAGCAAAACTGATTGACTGTCAGAAGTGTCCTCTTCTACATTGTCCGGCAGACTTTGGCAATTTGATTCTGTTGCGTTCATTAGATTTTCAATAGTTTTTTTGCGCTTACTCTAGTACCTCCGATCCGTTGGGCTCTCACCAAGTATGATTCAACAGCACTTGCGAACCACGGCTCGCCATACTCACTTGAGTCCTCGAGGGAGAAAATGCTCATCATTTGGGGTCGGCACTTCTGCACTCTCCACCCCTCACGATTTTTGGTCCATTGGGGCTCTTAGTCCTCCGACAGTGTTGTCGTCACAAAACAACCGAAGAAGTTCTGCCCAATCATCTCGACGACCTGACGTAGGAGCTGCTTTGAGAAGACTACGTCGAAGACGACCTCTTGAAATGCCCAAGAGGAGTTAAACAACTTTGGAGGATGAGATATTTATATTAAATTAGCATCCTTGTGTGGCAGCCAATTTCTCTTCATATCTCTCCTCCACTCACCTCATCCCTTATGTGTACTCATTCACGCACATTCTCCTCCTGGGTTTAACCGTGTCTCTCGTTAAAACAATTGAACTCCCTCCCCCCTTTCACTTTTGCTGTGTGTAATAACCCCTTTAACTTAGCTGTATCTTACTACTATTTATTATGCAATATTATGGAATTTTATAAATGGTAAAAAATGTTCATTGATTTTGTGTTTTTTTTAATAGGTATGACGTGGCAAAATTATGAGATGAAAGAAGATCAGCTAGGTAAGGGAATTTCCAGTGTTCATCTTAAGCTTAAAGGTAATATCGGGAAAATTGAATTTGCGGTATATTAATTGGAGGTAACTGCAACACATTTTATGAAACTTGATGTCGTTTTACCCATATGTACCCTTTAATTGGCGCGATTTGATGCACACTCGAGATATTATCTTCGGTTTGTTCAAATTTGATCTATTTATCAATTGAACACTTCCGCTGTGATAACGGGCAAAAGGTATAATTCAATCTCTCATTTGCTGTGAACCATAAGTATAACAATTTTTTGGGTCAGTAAAACTTGTTTCCACGTACGAATACTCTCGATAGAACACATCTTTACTAGATCACCCTGTAGAACACTTTTCCCGATGGAACTGTTTAAAATGTTCCACGCACACACCTGCAAGGAGACCTATGATGCCTCCGTGTCTAAACAGGACTTCATTAGGTGGTCAGATGATAAATCTGGTAAACGCAGTGAACCATAAATAGGAGTAGATGGGGTTATTTTCCACAGAATATTAAGAAATACCCATTTCTTATCCATGCTAAAAATCGTAGAAATCAGGCTCCTAGGTCTGACAAATGACAGGTTAAGGTAGTGGGTTCTTAATATTATCCAAATTATTGACAAAGCATATTTTAAAGCATCCTCAATTAACAACTGTAGGATCTTCACTAAGGCACATCATTATAGCTAAAAAGGTATGGAATAAGGAGTTAAAAATAAAATTAGTGAAATGCGACTATTCTGCTTATTGACTGCAAGCCTTCACCTGACCTAGCTCAAGGCCACAAAGCTATCAGCTCGGCTTCACCACTGGGTCATTGCGCAAAGACACACTTCTGTAGGGCTAATTAGGCCATAGGGCAACTAGTAACACTCGTTTCATCAAGGTAATTGAATCATATGAAGTAAAAATTAACATTATCCAAACACCATGAGGTCTACATGGGCAGCCGTTTGATTACATCATTTACCGCTCTTACAAAAGCTCATCTACTGCGTGAAAATTTAAAATAGAGCATATATTTACATAGGGCGTGCGACAGACTTACCACCACGTGAAGACACCTAGCCAACGAATACTCACGCGAAAATAAATCCATGACTTAAAATTACCACGACCCAACTGTGTCATTCCACCACTCCCACAGTTCTCACCTAACCTATTTCTCTCTACTTTTGCATCTTCCTCCTTTAAATCTGTGAATCACTCTTCTGTTCTCCCTCTCCACCTTTTATAACGGATATTCAACCCCACTGTGAAGCCCGAAGTCAACTAAAGGGATAATGATAACTATCATAAAGCCCGCCATTAGATACAAATATATGTATAGACATTTTACATACTGATTGCCATCACATAGAAACATGTGACTAAACATTTACGCAGATTGCATACTTCTGAAATAACATGACATGGGACACTTTGGGGTCAACAAAAGGTACCCGCTCGATCTACTAACATTTATTTATTTCAAATGGCGGGCTTTATGACACTTATCATTAGCCCTTTAGCTGACTTCGGGCTTCACAGAGGAAAGGTTCATCAAAGTAGCAGAAAGTCGAGGGGTGGGGAACAGAAGAGCGATTCACAGATGTAAAAGAGGCAGACAGACACAAAGGTAGAGAAAAAGGTAAGGTGAGTACAGAGTAAGGGGTCTAATATGACAACCAAGGGGGTCGTGGTAGTTTGAAGTCAGAAGTCAATTGCCGGTTAATAGGCTTTTTTGCCGTATGAGTATACGTTGCCCAGGGTACACCACGTGGAGGTAAGTCAATCGCACACCCCCGATCTACTAACATTGATTTAACTTGAGGGTAAGATTTTCGACCTAAAATAGCAAACTCATAGGATATTAAAG